CGCCCGCGTTTCCTCCCACGCGCCCCCACCGCTCGGGAACCTAACTACCCACAGGAAATTGACCCGGCTGAGCTCCAGCCCTAGCGCCACCTCCTCCATCTCCGCCTCCGTCAGGAAGTACTCGCTCCCGAAAGAGACAAACACCGTCGAGCACCGCTGCTTCCCGTCCAGCCACTCCTTGATCTCCTCATGCTCTCCCTCCGCCGCCGTGGACCGTACGAGCGGCCCCACCGGGACGCACCGTTTGCCGACCAAATCGCTCAGGTAGTCAATATACTTCCCCTCGAGCTCCCTGAACGTCTTGATGAGTATGATCCTGGACGATCCGTCCAAACACCTGTCCACCCGCTCCGTGTCGCTAATCCGGGTCCCGTCCTCCGAGTCCTCCGCCGGCTGTTCGAATATACACATGTTCCTCCTATACTCGTGATCCCGGAGATACATCTCCGGGAAGGGGTACTCATCCACGGGGTGGCCCCTCCCGACGTGAAACAGGTACGAGGAGGATGCCGCCCCGGGGTTGAGGAACAGTACCGCGGGGACATCCTCCCCTCGAGCCATCATCGGGACCCACGGCTGGAGGAAGTCGTAGAGGACCAGGTCGGGCTTGAAGGTGCGGAGGAGGGTGAAGAAGCCGGGTTTGGCCATGTCCATGGCGCGCTTGAGAGTGGGCATGAGGCGGGGCGGGAGGCCGTTGGTGGTGTGGAGGTGAGGGGGGAGATTGGGGAGGGAGGGGAGATGGAGCTCCACAAGCTTTATGGCTATGGAGTCTTTATCAGTGAGCCTCTTCTTGATGGAGTTGAGGTTGGTGGGGGTGGAGCATATGTAGATGATGAAGTTTCTTGTGGCAAGTGCTTGGGCTAGCACTAGGAATGGGCATATGTGACCATGGGCTAGCCATGGAAACATCAACACCCTTATGCTTCTCTGCCTTGTATCCATTTCTCTAACTTTGATTTTTTTAGTAATATATAAACATCAATAGATTGCACATTTGCAATGTGTTGTGCATGTATGTATATATATATATGTATATGTGTGTGTTGTATTGATATATGATGGGTATGTATGAATTGGAAGGGTGCGATGACGAAATGGTATAGATTATACACGTGGCTATCATGCAGGGCGATGGGTATGATGAGGTGGAGGGATGCAAGGCACGTTAGTGCTGACTTGTAAAGACATACTCCGTAATTCAAATCAGATCTTATCCGATCCATTCAGATCAGATTAAATTTAATCAGATCAGATCATATCAGATAAAAATAAAAAATATCAAAAATAATATTAGTATATTTTGTCAATCATTAAATAATAATTATTTTTTAATTAAATCATATCGCTTTAATTAAAGTTGCATACACCTTAAATAATATTATAATTTTAAATATGATTAATATTAATATTGACATCCTTATTATGATTTTAGGGCGAATGGAGTATTATTATTATTATCATTTAGGGACGGATGGAGTATTAGTATTATTGTGATTATTATTATTATTATTATTATTATTATTATTATTAACGAGTAATATATAATACACTCTCTTCATTATACATATAGAAGAATTGATCATTTTGTTTTCACATACTTCAAAAAAACTACAGTGATATTGAAAAGATATTAAATACAAGTATTACGTAATTAACAGTTAAATTTATCAATGATTAGTTATTGTCAATGATTTTTTTTATTTTACTTCTTCAATCTATATATGAAATGTTATTTTTGTTTCATTAAGCTATTAATTCTAAAATAAGGTTATTGATTCTATTATATGTTGACAAATTAATTTAAATTTATATGAATGATCATTAATTATATTATATTTTAAAATTATTAAATTATTGTAATAATTTCAAGTTCAATTAAAATTATTAAATTATTTTATTATAATAAAAATTAAAATAAAAGAAAAAGAATAGAAAATAAAATACAGAAAAAGAAAAGCATATTAAAAAATACCTTTTTAGAACAAAGAAAATTAAGTCATGAAGGAAATCTTTTGTGCGTTGGTACAAAAAATGTTATTAATATATAATAAACTATATATTAGATAGAGCTCACTCTGTATTTTTTGGTCCAGACATATTCAAAAAGATTAAAACTTTTCTAGACAAAAAATGAAAATATCTAATTTGACAAATAAAGTATATGTTAAATTTTTTATTTTATTTTTTATTTCTTACACAAACATTTTTTTTATCTTTTAAAAATGTAGGTTTGAAAAAAAAACATTATTTCACACACAAACATTTTTCTTGTATTTATGAAAAAAAGAATAGAAAAAAGAAAAACAATAAAGAAAAATGAGAGCGGGTGTTGGCGCCCATTTCAAAAACTATAGGGGGCAACGAAGTTATTCACCTAATATTTGAAAGATATTCTTATTTAAAGGGGCATTGACGTAACAATATTAGAACATTGAGGGGTAACGTTATATGTTTTGAAAGCATGAGCTAACGGTGCACATTTACTAAACCACATCGGGTGTTAGTGTAATAAACTCATTTGATGAATATTGACAATGGAGAGCCCCAAGCGGCCTAGCAATTTGAGTATTGTTTCGAAATAATATTTTCGATCAACATTAATATTTTTTATTATATTTTAATGATATAAATTAATTCTAAAAATACTAAGCTAAGGTAACTTTATCAAAATACTAATTCTAATAACATCTGGTATCAAATGGGGGCGTTGGTCATTTCTCCCTTTTCCCTTTTACCTCTTTGGTGGACTCAAATACCAAGATTGCGGTTTCCAACTAGAGTCAATCCAAGCAACGCCATGAGAAAGTTGAAAAGGGAAATTCCGCAGGAGGATCTTCAACTAAAGTCAGCTATTCTACTTCATACTCCCTATTGTTATTATTATTATTATCGTTCTCTGTATCTACACGCAGTGCTCATATCAAATCCCCGCCTTCCCTTTCTCTCGTTCAATTATAGTTCGGTTTAATTTCTTTGACTGGAAATCCTGATCAGGGTCTTTGTTATCATTGTCTGCATTTCGATTTGTCTCTTGACAGCTCAGCGTTAAGCTATTATTTGAAATAAAAATTGTCTGCTTCAGAGATTGAAGACCTAAATCCCGGGTAATCAATCAATCATCTTCCTCATCTCGCTGCCAATTTCGTTTTTTAAACTTTCTGAGCATCTGAGCATCTTATTCTGATCAATTTGAAGTTTGGGTTGTAAGTTATTGTTTGATGATCTGAGTAATCTCCCATCTTTCTTTTTTTTTGTTATATTTCATGCTTTTTGTTTTAGAAACTGATGTGTTTTCACAACTGAAAGTCCTAGTCCAACTTGCTTTGAATTGAAGAAATGAAGAAGCACGACTTTTCAATTTTCATCATTGCTCAATGATTTTGGGAGTATAGAGTCATGCTTGAGTGATAAAGATTGTGTTCTTTTAGAAATCCATGCTTTTCCATAAAAATCAAATATTGTCCGCATCCAATTTTGAAACTCGTTTGGTTTATATGATGCTGGCTGGAATGGCTTCAGTTGCCGAATTTGCTTCAGTTGTAGCAGAAATTTATCAAGTTTTTGATTCATCACAAAATAGCACAACGTAATAAAAATATATTTTCTTAAAACAATATCTTAAACTAGGTTATATCTGTCGTTTTCATTCATTTCTCAAAGTTGGCAAATAAGATCTAAACAAAAAACTACAAAATTGCAAAGAAGAGGATACCACAAAGATGAATCCAAGGTTGGTGGTTGTATTTTATTTTTCTGAGAGTGCAATGTAGAAGAAAAGCCTTTTCGTTTCATTATTGCGATTCACATGAACAAATAATTCATGTTTAAATGGTTTCACCAGTTGACTGGACTTCAAAATCTAGGTGATACGTATTGATGGTATATTTTTTTGTTTAACCTCATCCAATGGGATGCTACTTCTCCTGAGGTTGTGGAAAACATTTTGATCAGGAATACTCCAGCCATGGAAGATTCATCTTCAAAGACGGTTGAATTTCTCCGGGCACGGTTATTATCTGAAAGATCAATCTCACGGGCAGCAAAACAGAGAGCTGATGAACTGGCCAAGCGGGTAACTCATGTTTCCTTTTCTTGCAAAATGTGTGCATCTCCATCAGGAAAAAAAATTGCATGATGTGTTTTGTCGTTTGGGAATAACTTGTAGAAAATGGTGTATGGGAAAATGTTTTCTTGGAAAATAAGTTTTTTTGGTATCAATAATATAAATATATAAAATTTGATAAAATTGTAACTGGAAGCTATTTTCAATGTTGAAAACTGGAAAAGTAATTGTGTTCCTTTGCTAAGAAAATCTGTAATTATGTTCCAGGAATATACTTTTCTCTAAACAAACAGAGCTTCAATATTATACTACGTTACATATTCTTAATAAGTTAGTTTCTTTTAGCCATAACATCCATACATATGTCTGTAATATGTATAAAGGTTACAGAACTGGAGAAACAGCTTAGGATTGTCTCTCTTCAAAGAAAGAAGGCCGAGAAGGCCACAGAAACTGTCCTGGCCATTTTAGAGAACCATGGTGTGGGTGATGCTTCGGATGATTTTGACTCCGTTTCTGACCAGGGTACTGCTTTGTGTGAATCAAATGTTTCCGATTGTAAAGATGAGTTCAAGGAAGAAGAAGCTTCAGCAGAACGAAATTTGGAGATGAGAGGTATTAGTGGAGAGGCCTACTCAAGCTCTGAGGTTGACTCTTCTCTACCTTTTGGTAGAAACTTGTCATGGAAAAGTGATAGGTCAACTCCGCATTCTTTGTCTCGGAAGAAATACATGGATTCTTCTAGAAGGTCTAGTAGTTCTGCATCAACTGCTTCTTCATCCAAAGTTGCTAAATCATGTCGCCGGATAAGACGCAGGGAAACAATGTCAGTTTCTTTTTTATTCCTTCTTTTTAATTATAATTTCCTATAAGCATATTGGACTAATACTATATATGGGAATTTTCTGAGGAGAGGAAATTACTTTCTCTTTGGATCACCTCATCACCTCTTGAGTTTGGATTGAGGAAAGGCAAAGAATTACTCCAGATTTTTTTTCAGAGAATTATTTATTTTAGAGGGAAACGAAGTTAATTTTATAACTTTACTATTTGAATCTTCATAACATACAATAAATTTTTAAGATTTAAAAGTAGGATAAAATTGTAAGTTTAATAATGAATGGTGAATAAATACTCCTCTTCTTTCCCAAATACTCCAGCTGTCCTAAAAGGAATTTCCCACTTTCCTTTTTCGTCTCCCTCTGTCCCAAATTTATTTATTCCTTTTTTCTCTACCCTATAAACATTTTTCACTTTTCAACACTTTGTTAAATCTGTGAAGTCAAAGTGTGAAATTCTCTTTTGGGCAGAGTAAGATGAAGTATTTCAGTCTCCAATTTTACTTCCTCATATTTTTCTTGTCGAACATTATGCAAAGCTCTAGCATTCTAGTGTAGCCAACTTAAAAGACTTTGTTGTGCTTTCAAAAATATTTAAATATTAGCTGTCTTGTATTCTCAGATCAGATGTTGAGGAGTCGCACAACGAGACAACTATGCAACTAATGCAAGCTACTCGGGATAATTCAGGAATTACACATGCTCAAAATCTTCATGGAGTGACTCGCTCTGGTACTGAGTCACCAAGAGGTGACCTTACATGCCATGCTGACAATAGCCATTCGGAATTCCCTGCTTTTCTAATACTTGAAAATGAAAACCAAGAAGATAATGACAACGTAAGTAACCACACACATGAAGATGACAAAGATATGGAAAAAGCTTTGCAGCATCAATCTGAACTTATAGGTCAATATGAAGCCGAGGAGAGATTACAGAGAGAATGGGAAGAAAAACACACAGAGGATTCCAACTTTGTGCCAGTAAGATTACCTTATTGCATTAATGAATCATGCTGTCTAATATTAGAAAATTAGTAGACACTTCGGCTACAAAAATCTGGCTTGACATCTTAATGAATGAAAAGGATACCTTTTTGCATGAATTTATAGTTTTAACTAACTTTAGAAAATTATTCGACACTATAAACTGTAAAGCTCATGCATTTCGCACTAACATAGTTGGGATTAAGGTGAAGATGTAAAGGATAAAAGTGCATTTTTCCTTATTGGGGAATTTTGTATAAGAATCTTCAGCCTTAGAAGGATCTGCAGGAGTGGGGTGTAAGACAAAGTCAGCATTCAATAGTGCATGTCTGGATTCAACATCCAAAGCACTATTCCCATCTGAGAAGCTGTTTGGTTTTAACTAGACAATTTTGAAAGCCTATTTGGAATACGACCGAAAGTCTTAGTGCTTTCACCCATCAGAATTTTATAGTTTCGTTTAGCTTTTCAAATTGACTGGAGAAAGTTTTAATCTATTCTTGTTCTCCGGTATCATCTAAATAACTGGATTTAGTGAATGGACATTTGGAAAATAGATTACGAGTAAAAAGTTTTAGAAAACTGAAATCCAACACTCTATATATGTCAACTTAGGTTCTCCTTGAAAGAAAAAAAAAGAATCAGACGTTCTCATAGTTTAGCAAGCCTTCTCAATTAGTGCTACAATGGTCTACCCTTTCAAAATTCATCATGATTCATGATCCTTTCTTTTCCTGGATTTCAGTAGTCTTGTTTATATGTGGCAGATGGTTTAGTACTGTCTTGAGAACACATTGTGCTAGAGCCTAGAGGATAATAACTTTGTCTGTATGGGACCCTACAGGATTCTTCACGCGATATAGGAAACCATTCAGATGTGTCCGAAGAAAGAGACGACATCAGAGCAGTATCTAATGATCAGTCTGCAAAGGTCACCATTTGTTCTCAAGACCTTCAAGACCATGGGAGAGTAGATGATGAAGATTCTCTGTCCCCGGCGTCTTTGCTAAAAACAAACTGCGACAACATAAGTGTTTCCCAATCATCCTCGCCAGAATTTGCTTTTCCCACCATGCCCAAGGAAAATAACCCCTCAAAGCAGACTCCATCCTCTTCTACATTGCTAAAGCCCAACAACACTTCAGGAGGAAAGTGCGAACTTGCTTTGGTTTTACCTGAGACGAACAAAAATGTCAGAAATGTCCTCGAAGCACTTGAACAAGCTAAATTCTCACTGAGAGAGGAACTCAACATCACCTCACAGATACAGGGCGGCAGGCCTGTTGGCCTTTTCAGATTACCAACAGACATAAACTTTGAGTCAACACCTCCAAGAACAGGCTATTCTTCTCCACCATTATTCAGCATGGCCAAACGTACCCCTGAAACTGCTTCTGATATATTCTCCCATGGGCATTTCCCGGAGACTAGACGCACGGATGCATGGAGGCTGCCAATGTTGGAGCCATTTCCCAATATACCCTCCTCTCCCGCAAGATTATTGAACTCTCTTGATCCTCGACCAACCACGGGCCATACTTTTCCCAATAACCACACTCTATTTTCTCCAAGTCGACTCTCAGCTACTGTTCCTGTCCGGGAAAACATGTTTTCTCCTTCTATGCGCTTCTCCCCTCATGATGATCGTATCGGACCACACACGTACAGGTATTAATAATCCTGGCCCTCACTCTTCCATCTTAATTATGACTTGTCACTATTGATTGCAGCTGAGTTGTAGATTTATCTATATGTATCATGTATGCATGTATATAGTGCTGTTCTATAATAAGTTGGTGCTGTATTATCATCTTAAATGTGTTTTACTTTGCACCCTTGTAACGAATAGAAATGCAGTTTCTAAGCAGGTAATAAAAATAACATATTCATATATTTGGTGTTAAGAAGTTTACAATATATTGCATCTGATGAGTGGATATGGATGGTGAAAACAGCTTAATTAAATTATACACTCCTTGCATTGAAATGAATGCCCGGCTATTTAAAAACATAATCAATGCATAACTATAAACACTACTGTTAGTATGCACTAGAGATTGGTCGCTTTGTATTCTCTCTCATTCTCTCTGTGTGTGTGAAGTCAATGGCTGAGTTCTTTAGAGTGGGCTGATGAGATGTTTATGGGAAATATAAAAGTCAGCGAGTCAACCCTGAACCCACACGCGGCTAAGAGCATTCACAATGGCAGACAATGTCTTGCCCTACCTAGTCATGTCATCAAATGTCACTCAAATCATGGCATTCCATATTCATTCCACCCCACTTTTCATTCCATTTGCAAGGCATGACTCTCTCATTTTTAATTTTTTTAAATATTTTTAATATTTTTAATTTTTGAAAAATATATTTTTTAAAAGAAGTGGACATGTTTTAATACCAAAATAAATGTGTAAAATAATTTTTGATAATTAAAAATCATTAAAAAGTACAAAAGTAGACAAACAATGACTTGCCAGGTTATGTTATGATACTCCACTCATTTGCCACACAGTGACTGGATTACTTTTTATTGGTTGAAATAGTCCATGTCACCGTGTGGCATTTTATTTTCGCCTTGTCATTGCTTATGCTCTAATGTTTAGGGCTTTTAAGGCTATGCTTTGTGTATCCCACTCATCTAAACGTAGGTACAAATGCTAAATTTGAAGTAATTTTTTTGAACGGGCACACTATTTTTAGCGGAATACATTGTATTTTCATCGGAGACACCTTCTTAATTTACGAAAAAATAAAATAGTACTCCACCTGTTTTATAATAATGTTCCAATTTTAGAATACGATGTTCAACAAAAGTTATATACTTCTTCCGTCTCTGAAACATCTTTCCTTATTGACCTTTTGAAAATTTTAAGTGAGAGATATTTTTGGGTTAACTTTCAAAAAATATTCTTGATGTGATGTGTAGATTATTAGTAAAAATGTATGATGTGATAGGTGGGTATGAAAAAGTAAGAGTAAAAGTGATTTTTTAATAGACAAGGGAACATCTTTTGGGGACAACCAAAAAATAAAAGGGGAAGATCTTTTAGGGACGGAGAGAGTATAAAATTTGGTGTAGAGTTAATAAATACGGAGTATAATTTATTATTTAAAAGTACTTTAAAAGTTCTACCAAACACGTGGTGACATTATTATTTTATTTTATTAAATAGTCAACAAAAAAGGATGAGCCACATTCCTAGTTGCCTTCTCAAATTCGACCAAATGGTCACTGAGAGGAAGTAAATTAGACTTTGGTGGTAGATTGGAAGCAAAAAAGAAATATGCACCTAATACTTGCAGAGGTCTCGTGCTTACCATAATTGCCTACAGTGCAGTTGCGAAAAATCGAATGCGGATGTTACCTCTTTGGTTATCCTTTGCGAAGCCTCCTTGGCACTCCTTGTTTTACAAGCTAATGACACACAATAACCCAATTCAAAGCCTACACTGAAACTCAAACTTAGGTAAATTTCTCAATGAATGTTGAGGAGTGACTTTCTATTACCCAAGATAAAAGAGAAGTTCTAACCATTGATGTTATATTTGTATTAAAATATTTATTTTTTTCGATATCAAAATCAAAATTTACTAATTTTGACCAAAAAATTCAAATGGAAAAATTAGATCAATCACAGGGAGCATTTCTCAAGAGCAGGCCTACATTCTTTTTAATTTTCACCCTTTAATTATTGTTATTTTTTTGCTCTCAGCTTAGAAAATCATTTTAGATTTGTGAGAATTGAGAAATGAGAGTGCTTTTTTTTATTCATCGTGGTTCATATTAATTATTATTTCTCCGTCTCCATTTTGATTACAATTTTGTTTTCTCTTTCTTCTCGAAAATTTTTATTTGTTTGTGTGTTTGCATGGATTATTTGATAAAATAAAATATTCTTATTGCTTCTTATTTTATAAAATTTTTGGTGTAGTTTAATAACATATAATTTTGATTTCTTATTTATACACCAATTTATAAATAAAATTATTTCAAAAATCGTATGATTTTACGTTGTAATTCCCATTTTGTAATCAAAATACAACGGATGGACTAATCATTTTATTGAGATTTTCATCTCATTTACAATAATTTTATCACATTTTTTAAAAGAATAAATCTATGTGTATCCTAAAGATTGTACTTCAAAATATTTCGCAAAAGTTTACACTAATATTTTGTGTTAATATAATTCCGAGATTGATAACTTACATTGACAAAATGGTCATTGTAAAATTTTGCGATCGCACTAAGATTTTATAACAATGTAACCCATCAAAATATAAGTAATAATCTTTGGGATGCGTTCTGGGATGCAACGAATAGCAAAAATAGGTAAATAACGTGATTAAAATTTGGCATTGTAATTAGCAAACATGTAATTTAAACTATGACAAAAATTATAAAATAATTTTCATAGTACATCCTTTAATTTAAACAACACATCATAATTTTTCCTAGATGGATATTAGTCTTAATCAAAATGCCAATACAAATTATGCCGTCCAACCCCACACTAATTACTCATTAACAGATGTATTTAAAAAATACAAAATGGGACAAGTAGAATTTAAAATTAATTAATGACACATGCACACATATGCCAAGTAGATTAAAACCATAATACCCCACAAATTAATTATACCCTTTTTGCTTGATCTTGGCTTTGAGAGGGTTCTTCATCACCACAGTGAACTCCGATTTCTCGCTGAAATCCACTTCGCCGTTTTCCGGGTAAACGGACCATTCGAATTCCTGAACCAGCCGGGCGATCATCAGGCTCACATGCAACATCGCCATATTCAACCCCGGGCAGATTCTCCGGCCGACCCCGAACGGGATCATCTTGATCCCCGTGACCCCGGTGATGTCCGCCGTCTCCCGGCCAGAGAGGAATCTCTCCGGGTCGAATTCTTCCGGGTTTGACCATATCTTCGGGTCCTCCGATACCGCCGGCAGGAAGATCTCGACGTTGCAATCCGTTGGGATGTCGTACCCGCCCAGTGTCGCCGGTTCGATCGCCGCGTGGGTCAGCGACATGTACGTCGGGGGGTGTTTCCGTAACAGCTCCATCACGAAGGCGTTCAGGTACGGCATCTTCTCCAAATCGCTCTCGCAGACCTTTCGCTCCCCGACGGCGGTTTTGATTTCCGGGGAGAGCCTCGATTGAATCGCCGGATTTTCGATCATCCGCGCCACCGCCCACTCGACGGCGGTTCCCGTCGTGTCGGTTCCGCCGTTTAGGAGCTCGGAGACGAGCGTCACCATCTCCGCATCGCTTGGCACCGCCTTCCTCCCTTCGATTTTGAGATCGAATAGCGTGTCCAGGTAGGAGAAGGACGACGCCGTTTCGTCCGAATTAGGGTTTCGCAGCGCGCGGCGCCGCTTCTCGATCAGCGGGACGATCGTTTCGATCTGCTCTGTTCTGACCTCCATCGCCGTTCTGATCTGCTTGGAGAAGAACGGCCGTAGAATCGGGAGGTAATCGTCCACCCTCGGATCGAGAACGATCAGGACCTTCTTCATCATCTGATCGACGGCCTCGATCGTCTCCTCGTCCATCTCGATTCCGAAACACACGGCGAGCAAGATGCAGAAAACGGCGAACCGGGCGTTTTTCAGCACCCAGACCGCTCCGCCGTTGGCCGCCGCCTCGGCCCGGATCCGGGCGACCATTTTGTCCATCGCCGCCTCCCTCGCGCGCCGGAACTCCTTCAGGCGGGAGGAGCTGAGCACGTTCTGCACCATGTTCCGCCTCAGAGACCGCCAGACCGGGCCGTAGACCGCGGCGTTCACGGTGAACTTGTTGCAGCTGAAGACGGACCGGGTCGGGGTTTCCCTGGGCCGAGACGCGAAAACCTGGCCCTTCTGGATCAACGCTTCGTGGACCAGCTCGGCGCTACTGATAACGATCATGGTTCGGGTCCCCATCCTGAGAGTGAAAATGGGCCCATAAATGGCCCTGAGGTCCCTCACGTACTGGAAAAACGGTTTCCCGGAGCGAGCCACCTGGAACAGATTTCCGACCACCGGCCAACCGGGCGGTCCGGGCGGGAGGTTGAGCTTCTTCTTTTTGGAAATCGTTTTTCTGGAGAAGAAGAAGAAGATTAAGGCGGAAATGAAGCAAACAAGGGCTGGGAAGATGAGGTCATAGTTTGTAGAGGACGACAAAGAGAGAGTATCCATATGGTTTCTTGTTCTGCAGCTTGGGAATGGTGTTGATGGAAGAAAGAAAAAAAAAGGTGGTGGTGCATGAGATGTATGGAGGGAGTCAACGTTCACTTCATAAATACTCTCCCTCCTAAACCTTTTTCTCCATTATTATTGAGTCAAATTTAAATCATTTTCTTTATCAGTTTTTGTTAGATATCTGATAAAGTAATACGGAATACTCCCTCCGACCACAAATAAACTTTACGTTCACTATTCATAGAGTCAAACTTTATGTACTTTGTTGGCCTATTTTCGTCACCCATTTGATAAAATAATATAGTCATGTTATCTTTAGTTTTGTAGATCTTTTGATATAGTTTTTTAATATGTAATTTTTATTTTTTAATTCTACACCATTTTTCATATAAAATGATTTGAAAATAACTTCAGTCAAACATCATAACGCGTAATGTAAAGTTTATTCGTGGACGGAGGGAGTATATTTTAGTCATTTCTTGTAATTTTTGATGTAATTTTTAAATATATAAATTTTATTTTTAAATTTCACACATACAATTAAATAAATTAAATTGAAATATAAAATCGATCAAACCTCGTAAATAAAAAGAATGTTTTGCGATAGAGGGAGTATTTATTTCACTTTTAAAAGAATATGGACAATGGTAAGACAAATCATACATTGACGTGACAAGCGACGTGGATGAAGTGACAAACTCTGCAATGGTAAAATATTATTTTTGTGAACTTTTACATTAACTTTGTTGTTTTTTTATTACAAAGAAATACGGAGTACTTTTTTATTTGTTTTATCAAAAAAATATTTCTACAATCTTACACAAAAAAGTTTTTTTAATAAAAAATTATTTTTTTCCAAAAAAAAGGAAGACTCTTCATGTGTGTTGAATTAGGGATTGAAAAAAGACTAAAATAGAAGTAAAATATTAAAAACATACCAAAATAGGAGTTTCGTGTTTTTATTCCCGAAAAAAGAATTAAAATCTATTTATATTACTAATTATGACCATCTATATTACGTAAAGTGTATATACGTACAGTGTCACATTACCGTAGCAAGGTTTTCTATTTAGGGAATGAAAACATAAAACTCTTATTTTGATACTCCCTCCGTCCCTAAATAAACTTCCTCTTTCGTTTTTTCTTTGTCCCTAAATAAACTTCTCTTTTCCCTTAAAAAACCCCTTTTATCCCTTACTTTTTCAAACTCTATCACATCATACCTTTTTACTAATAATCTACCTATCACATCTTATTTTTACACATCACATCAAGGGTATTTTTGGAAAGTCAACACAAAAATATCTCTCTTTTAAATCCTCAAAAAGTCAAAAATGGAAGTTTACTTAGGAACAGGGGAGTTTTTTTTTGTTTAAGTCTTGATTTCTTTTAAGGATTTCACGCGAGGCAAACAAAAGTTGGGATAGCTTCTTCTAAGAGCACTGGAAATACGTTTGAAGCCCTGGGGCTTCAAACCGTGGCTTCAAACCTTCTCTCTGTCACGTCAGCTTTAACTTACATCCAAAATTCACTGGAAATGGGTTTGAAGCCCGGGGCTTCAAACTGGGGCTTCAAACCTTTATTTTTTACATTTTTAAATATACATCTTCTAAAATTAAATTAATAAAATGCAATTAATTTATTATTTAATTAAATTGAAACACGAATAATAAAAAATACATTAATTAAATAAAAAAAGCGACAATATTTTTAAAAAAGATACATTAATAAAAAAGCTAAGGTAAATTGTATTTCTCATTGATCTCTCTTATTCTTTGCTCGTAGATCATTAGTCCAAACTCCGACAACGTCCCGGGGTCATTTTGCATGACTTTCATCTCGGCCTCCTGCTCCTTTAGCTTCAACTCTTTCTCCTTTAGCTTCAACCTCTCTTGTTCCTGGAGATTGAACGACCGAAGTTGTTCAACCATTGCCCGGCCGATTTCGTCGCGGGGAGAAGCGGAAACAGAGGCGGACCCTCTCGAACCAGAGGCAATGAATTTTGCCTTCTTTCTTCCGATCGGCCGTGGAATGGGGTCCTCGTCATCGGAATCCGCAACGTTGAAGGGAGGGATTTGATCGGTAGAACCGATAGTCTCGTCGACCTCAACCTCGGCGTCGACGGTGGATCTTTTCCGGAACGATCCGCCGTCGGGATTGTTGAGTTGTTGCCACTTCGGGGAACGACTAAAAATTCTCCAAAGATCGATGGGCACCTTGCCTTGTTGCCCGTCGTCTTGATACCGGGTCGTGGCAAGCCAGAGAACATCGGCGTCGTTCGTGCCGCTCCTCCGGGACCGGGAGCATTCCTCGTAAACTCTGATAAACTTTCGGACTTTTTTGTTGATGTGGCTCCATTTAGAAGTGAGTTGGTCCCGGGTTCGGTAGGAGCCGTCCTTCTTCATCGCCGTGAAGAATTTCTCTTCGATACGATCTCACATCGCATCCTTTGTTATCTCCGGCGGGCGTGATGAGTATTACCAGTGCTCTAAGGTGGCATGTCATGGCGCCCTATCACCACGTCATTGCCGTTGCTCTCACAAAAACTTTGTGGAGCATATGTGTATACAAAAATAAAATGTAGGGAGTATCAAGATATTAATAGTCAAAATATTACATTAGAAAAAATGAAAATCACAGTGGAAGAAAGACATTGGATGGAAGGAGTAATATAAAAATTATTTCATTAGATTTATATATCTTGTTTAAACGTTTAAACTTTTTTTCATTTTAATAATATACGGAGTATAATAAGATTGAGAATAAATGACGATTAGAATTTGTTCAATTTGATTTAAAAAAGTTAAAATAGACAAATACACTTGAAAAGCAAAAGATATATTATTAAAAAGTGATTTTAAAATTATGTTTCGAAATGCATTTATTGATTTTAAAATCATATACAATTTAATGTTTTTTTCTTTAATTTAATTATAGTAAAAAATTTAAAAATACGAGTGTTATTAATATAAAAATTCAAAATAAAAATATATTTTTTAAAAAAGTATTATACTTTATTCATCCTAAATTAAACTGTATTATTGATATTTGCATGGTTAAACTTTATCACATTCTGTACTTATTTTTACTATCATACTCATTTGATAGAAAAACTTTAGTTAAATATCGTAAAATGAAGCGAACAATTAAAACTAGGACGAAGAGAGTACTACTTCCCTCCTATAGGATTTGGCAAAATTTAATGTATTGAGTCAAATAAACAATATTTGATCATCAATTAGATAAGTACTTTACTAACTGCTCAGCCCGTACTTAGTAAAGTCGGTCAAACCTCGTAAATACAAATGGAAAGAACATTAAATTAAAAATAAAGTCGGTCAAATCACATAATACAAACGGAAAGAACATTATAGGATGGAGGGAGTATTAAATGTTGTTGGAAGTCGATTTATAATGCCGAAAACTAACAAAAATTGTATTCCATTCGTCTCTAAAAGATAAAACTGTGACACTCTTTTACTATGAATTAAATATAATTTAAAACAATTAAATATTATACAAAATTGATATTTCAAAATTATATTTTAATACAAACTTAATTTTACTAAATTTACATTATAACTAAATATTTTTTTTCATATTTCACGGTTAAAGGGTGCCATGATTTGATTAAAAATGTCAAATTGTTGTATTGTTTTAAGAATAGATGTAGTATATTTTATTGTATTATTATACTGTATAAATTAGATACCCCCTCCATCCCAAAATATTTACAACATTTGCTTTTTCAGCAGTCGCGGAAACTTTTGTTTATTTCTACGTTTTCATTGGTTATTTGATAAAATAAAATATTCTTGACACCTCTTATTTCGAAGAACTTTTCATTTAGTTTTTTGATATGTAAATTTTATTTTTTATTTCTATATCAACATGTAAATAAATTGAATTGAAAAACTTGATATTTTACTTTGGAAATATAAGTGTGACAAATATTTAGAGACGGATGAAGTATAATTGATGATTAAAATTAGTTATTATAACTCCAAAAAAAAAAATTAAATAAACCAATATGGTGACAAGTGCAATGAAACGGTGGTGCGAGTGTGCGACCCTAAGAAAACAAAAACGGTGGTGCCGAACATGGATTTACAGGTGGCTATCAAATTTCAATTAATGCAATTCATTCATTCACAGGAAGACCTTCCATTCACAGTTGATTTGTAGCTGCAATATTTTTACCTACCGCCTACCCCAATTAATACAACTACCTGGGGATATTGAAATTTTCTCTTTGTTTTGGTATCGATTGGCTACTTCCAAATTTTATATATAAAGATTTGAAAATAATTTTAGTGCAACATTCAGATTTTAAACAAATATCTTATTTTGAGAGGGTGTATACATTTTATCTGACCTGTGTATGACTATTTTTGAAGACTTGGTGTCATGGTCTCGAAAAAGCCACCAAATTAAAGTATGAAATTACTTAGGCAGTGTTCTGTTCAATTTTTTTTTTCTACTTACTATATATTGTTATTAAAATCGGATCATATCAAATGAGATCTAAACAAAATTAATATTATTACTTTTATTCTTATTATTACTATTATTATTCTTAACATTATTATAAATAGTATTATTATTACTTTTATTATTTATATGATGATTATAATTATTATTATTATTATTATTACTATTATTATTATTATTGTTACTATAATTATTATTAACTATTACTATTATTACTCCTTCCGTCCTAAAACTATCTTCCCAGTTACTATTCACACGGTCAGACTTAAATCACTTTCTTTACCTATTTTCACTTTTTATTTGATAAAATAATATAGTCTTGTCACTTCTCGTTTTGTAAAACTTTTAATGTAGTTTTTAAATATGTAAATTTTATTTTTTAATTTTACATCTACAATCAAATAAATTAAAATAAAAATAAAGTCAATCAAACCTCATAAACACAAACAGAAAGATGATTTTAGAACTGAGGAGGTATTATATAGGGTCTTTATAAATAGAGTACTTTGAATAATCTTGAAGTCCTAGGAATACTGTTGAAGTAAAAAAATATAGGGACCGTGTGATTAATAATTCTGAGGCCGAGATATATTGGGCTAGCACCACGACGGAGGCCCACAATGTATGTGAAGTAGAACTTTAAATGGGCAGGTCCAAGATTTGATTAACATGTACATGTCCGTCTATGTATATTAAACATATATGGAGTATGCATTTGTTTAAATACGGAGTATATTATTATTTGTATCCGATTAAAGATACTCCTTCCGTCCCAAAAAGATTTACACGTTTCAAAAAAATTGTGTCCCATAATCTCCTACCCACTTCTATTAAAAAAACCACTTTTATCCCTTACTTTTTCAAACCATACCTATCACATCATACCTTTTTCCTAATAATCTACACATCATATCCTACTTTTATCCATCACATCAAGGGTATTTTTGGAAAGTCAACACAAAATTATCCCCCCCTTAATTTCAACTTTAGTCAAAATGAGTAACACTTTATGGAACGGAGGGAGAATTTAATTGGTAAGCGGATGCAAAACAGACCAAGACCGATCCGGAACATGGTCAAAATGGACTCAATCCGGTCCCTTTTCGATCCAGTGCCTTGTCCTCAAAGTATATGTCTCTGATAAAAGAATATTATTTATAATCAGGGGAAAATATTCCCTATATTTTTTACGTAGTAATTAATCCCTTACAAAAAAAATTCTAGCCACTAATTTTTAAAACATTTGATGTAATTTTTTCTGAAGTAATATATAATTTTTATTTTTTATTTATATGAATTTGAAAACAATTTGAGTCAAATTAAATATGATAAAACGAACAAGAGTCTTATTTTGGAAAGAAGAAAGTATTATTATTAGGGAATAGTACTCGATCTTGTGAATAAAACAAAGAATGCAATCTTTTTTCTGCTTGAATTGGTGAACCTATATATGTCCATCATGCAATTGCTTATGTTTATATACGGAGTAGATATATACATAGAACATTATTGGCTCAATAAGATAATATAATTAAAGAGATTTATAATAATGGTATAAATAAAGCTAAAGCTCATTTTGAGGAGTGGTGGTCGTTAGCTTCGCCAATGGCAAGAACGCCAGTGGGGGTCACAAGAAGTTTATGGTCAAGACCACGTGATGGATTTGTGAAGGTTAATATTGATGCATCTACAGGCTTGATTGACGATATGATGGGAGTGGGTTTCATCTCTCGCAATGACCTTGGAGTTTTTTTGGCGGCTAAAAATAAATCTTTTAGGGGCAGCTACGGTCCCAGGGAGGCAGAGGCGGTGGCAGTTAAAGAGGCCCTTAGTTGGATCAAATCAAAAGGTTGGATGCAGGTAGAGATCGAAACCGATTGTAAGGAGGTTGTGGATGCACTGAAAAACTCTTTTGATGATTGGTCTTATTTCTCTTCGATTATTACTGATTGTAAATCCCTATTGGCTTCGTGCAATGAGATTTTTCATTTTCACTTTGTATATCGCTCTGCTAATGAGGCGGCGCATATACTAGCGCGAGCTTCTCATTCACCTCAGAGCAGGGGAGAATGGAACATTTCTCCCCCCTGACTTCATCATTTCATTAATATAATTTTTTTCCCTTTGCTTCAAAAAAAAAAAATAATAATAATGGTATAAATAAAGCCCAAGCTCAACAACGACAAGCACAGCCACAAAGGCATTCATCAGCCCACTTCCCAGCGTCAGCGGCGGTGGTGGCGGCATTGGTTGCGCCGCCGCCTTGTCTCTCTTATTATCGGCGGCACTGTTTTCATTATCCTCAGTGCCAACATGCTTCTCTTGGCTCCCATCAATGGCTGCCGCCGCTTCACCATCACCATCATGAATTAGTGTGGGTTTCTTCTTCTGTTCTGTTGGGATAATAATCTTTAGCTGGAATGTTAATGGTGAGGATGGCGAGTGATCCAGGAGAAATAAGTGTATCATCAAGATGAATACTGTCCATGTCTTCACAATCCTCTGGAATTTCGAAAACGAAGCCACACATCTTTATACTTCCCCTCTACTTTCTTTTCTCCTACTACACTCACTCTCCCTTTCTCTTTGTCTATTTCCATTTGTATGCTCTCCCTCTTATAAACACCTGCATGCATGTCCTTTCCATCAAAACCACATATTTACATATATAATTAAAGAATAATTCTATAATTAGATCTTATTATCAAATACTCCACCCGTCCATTAAATTCTATAATTAGTCCTTTATAACAAAGAACTTTTTATATTTAGATCTTATTATCAAATACTCCACCCGTCCCTTAAACTCTTATCCTATCACATCGTACCCTTTTACTAATAATTTATCCATCACATCTTATTAGTTTTACCGTCACATCAAGAGTATTTTTAGAAAGTCAACACAAAAATATTGCTCCTTTAAATATTCATAAAATCAATAAGGGGACATATTTCAGGGACGGAGGTGGAGGAAGTATTAGGTTTGTGATTCTTTTTTATATGGACACCTTTTCATGGATATGGAAAGTCTTTTTTTGTCATGTTAGAGTTGATTAGAAGGCTAAAAATATAATTTCACACAAATCCTATATCTGGTGATGATATATTCTGTTGTCGGCTTTACTGAGCAAAAACATTAGGATTTTTCTATGGTGCCCTTACTATCTACCCTATCAACTACGGGCAAGGATGTCCCTCTTAAAGCTCTTATTTTTTGATCAATTACTCCGTATTAATTTATAAATTTAATAAATTATTTTTTCATTATGCCATTCTATCCTCCCAAATATTCCCTTTTATTTTAAGTTTTAAAAGGTAGAGTATTTTTTATTCACAATTATTATTGCTTTTTCTTACTCCCTCCATCCCACAAAACATTTCTTAATTTGCATGTCACAATTCCATCTTCTAAAGAAAGTAAGACAAAGAGATACTACGTAATATTTTTATTAATCTTAAATAAAATGAAAATTTTACATAAATAAGCCATCTTTCTTTTTCATCCCGCACAGATTTTCACTCATTTCTCTTTGTTCATTCCAAAAAATTGAATTTTATTTTTTTTATTTTTCAATGTTTTTCTTGAACTATGTGAAAATCAAATAATGCAGAAGTTTTTTTATGAACAGAGGTAGTATAATTTGACATAATCTGACATACGCATGTTTAAAAATTAACCAATATAATGAAGTATATAATTATTTGGAGGGAAAGGAAAAAAAGAGCATTCAATATTTAGTGGCTTTCAATAATAATGAAGAGAAGTAAATTACTACTCCCTTTGTTCTCTATAATACTACATCTTTCATTTTTTCTCTTTCACCAAACTACTTCCACTTTATATCAAAAAACCACTTATACTCCTACATTTTCTTACTCTACCAATCACATCATATTTTTTCTCTAATAATCTATTATCTATCGAATTTTAATTTTACCCATCACATCAAGAGCAAATCTGAAAGTCAACTACAATTTAGTATATCCTTATTTTGGCACTTAGTCAAAATGAGAACTATTTTCAAGAATGGATGGAGTATAATATAAATGTAAAGAAAACAAAAAATTAGATCACGACATATTTTGTGATGGTCTGGTATTTTAAAAACTCTTGTAGTGTAATTTTAAAATTTCAATTAATAAACTCCATCAATCTGTCTAAAAAAGTATGCCACATTTTCTTTTTCAACTATAAACTTTTGTTTATTTGTATGTTTTCATTGATTATTTGATAAAATAAAATGTTCTTGACACCTCTCATTTTGAAGATTTTTCATGTAGTTTTTAAATATGTAAATTTAATTTTTTATTTCTATATATGCCAATATTTAAATAAAATAAATTAAAAAACTTGATGTTTTACGAAATGTGGCAAACATTTTGGGTAAAAAACTTGATGTTTTACGAAATGTGGCAAACATTTTGGGACGGAGAAGTATAATTTAAGCAACCCCGCTTAGCTAAAGTGCATATATTGTTCATAATTTAAAAATTTATAAAGTGTAATGGTAACTAGATTACTTTGCAAAAAACAAATAAATTAAGTTCTTATCATTTAATAAAGTAATTAAGAAGTTAAAATTAGTGCAAGTTAATGTCATTTCAAAGAAACATAATAAATGGAATATTCCAAAACCACAATTGAAAAAAAAGACTATTTTTATTTATGTCAGGCTTTTTAAAAGTTTAATAGTAAATATATTATTTCTCAGGAGTATATATTAAAGTATAATAAAGTAATTAAGAAACTAAAATTCAGTGCAAGTTAATGTTGTTTTAAAGAAACATAATTATAGAATATTGAAAATTTACATTAGAACAAAAAGCACATTCTACATATGTCAATTTTTCATTTTATTTTAAATTTATGGAAAATATTCATTTTATTTGAGATGTTAAGGAACCAACTCAACCAAAAACTCTAGCTTGTAGGTAATATTATGTCAAGAAACCAACTCAACTAAAAGTTCAATCAGTTAATGAAAGGCTTTTATATTCTAACATAAGATAAATAAAAATATTAATCTAATTGTTCTACTCTTTTTTTTTTGGAACATTGACTAGTGACATGTGAATTAAAAAATAAAAAAATTACATTAATATGAAAAAGTTTAAGAAAAAATAATAATGCGTGTGAGTCATAAAAAATATCTATTTTTTGAAACTTAAAGTAATCGAGAATATTTAGGAAGGTAGGATGACATAATAAAAAGATAATATATTAAATTAATAAATTAATACGGAGTAATTGATCAAAAAATAAATAATTCTTTTTAAAAATTTGATAAATAATACGGAGTAATACATAATGACATTCATGCCCATAGACTAGTATGTAAGGGCACGGTAGAAAACCCAAAGCATTGTTAACCTCTCTTGTACATTATGGCCTTGTTTGGGAAGAACGTTTTCGATTAGCGTTAGCGTTTTGGATAAAATTTTAATGGTGTAGATTAATCGATGAGTATCTGGCCCATCGAGATATAGAATTGACCTAATAGCAAGGTAATATTTTTAATTCATCCAATATTTGTGTAGAAACTATGACAATGATCGATTGCCATGAGGATATTCCCATTCCAAACCATTGAATTGAGAGCTGGGAAAGCAACTACGGAGTAATTAACACACCTAGCAAACTTTATCATTCATTTCATAAGGAAAAATTATTCCTATTGTAATCTGATTCGGGACGGAGAAGAAGTACGACTTTAGATCAATTCAAATTTGTACTGGATGAGCGTGTGATTAACACACTTCTAAACCTGGCACTTACAGAGGAATCATTGGTGCAACATATTTAAAAGTTCAGGGGGCAATGCACTTCTAAACCTGGCCGACTGAACTTATAAAAAAATAAAGAATGCAACAGAAATTGATAAACTTGCCTGGTAAACCGCTAAGGAACGTCAGATATATTTTATGCATTCCAAATTGTCTCTCTTGGTGGACAAACGGTTCCTCTTCATCCTTGATGTAATAACCACCGCCTTTCCTTGGCCACATAATAATTAATTAATTAATTAATTAGAGTTCTACGGAGTAATTGAATTGAAAGAAACGGGGAATTGTGATGTTCTTCACATGCCCCAAAAGGCCATATATATAGGCCTTGTTTGGATATTGACAGTTGGCTGTTGGCTGTTTATGTTAGTTGGTTTGAATAGCTGATTGAGTTAGCTGTTTTGACCGGCTGTTTCTGTTAGCAGTTAAATTTTAAGTGTTTGGCAACTTTAGCTGTTTATAGTTAGCTGCTTCTATGTAAAATTACATAAAAGGACATCCCTCCATTTATGTTAATTTGTATGCAATTTTTAATTTTTCTTGAATTTTCATAAAATACGCACATTATACAAGCAAATACTCTGGACATCCCTACATCTTTTTTTTGGACAAAAAAGGCTACTTCATTTTTTTTATAATTTAAGAAATGAAAATTTACATTTATATTTTATGAGTAGACTTTTTTTGTATTTATTTCATTTGTCATTCTACAAATAACAACCGCGCATGGTATATTTTATTTTACAGTTTTTTTTAAATATCATATCATAAATATCCTTCAAAAAAATCATAAATATATAAAGATACTCTACACCAACTTTAAATTAAAAAAATTAAATAAAAAATTACTCAAGACAAGCATCACAATCTGAAGTATCAAATACTTTTTGAGAAGTCATGAGCATTAAAAGTGACAAAAAATCATACAAGCTCTCGACTTTTTACTAATGAGATCTTCTCGCCATCAAACTAGAAGTAATATTATTACGGATTTTTCTCATTTCCTGACTTCTTATCCCCATCTCATTATTTGCAACTTGGTTTTCAACATCTTCAAACACATCTACGGGTACAAAATCAAGATCATCATCAACCAATTGAAAAGTCGGATCACCAATTGTGCTCATTCGAATATAGTTGTGCAAAGCAAAACACGAACAAATAATCTTGTTTTGATCCATTAATGAATATCTTGGCATTATTTGCAATATCTTCCATCGAGCTTTAAGAACACCAAAATATGAAAAATCTGCACCAACACATTCAAACAAACTACAACCAAATATTCTGTTTTATTTTCTCGCTTCTATTTTTTAGATGATTATACAACAATTAGATACGAAGTAAAAGATAAATTGTATGATCCTTGATTAGAGGAATTTTGCTCAAGAGGTTAATTGCAAAGGAGAAGAAACCACTAAAACAAAAAATAAATTAATTTTAGAAACGAAGAAGGGTGATTTAGGGTTTTAAAATTTTTCTCAAATCAAGAATGACCAATTGGATAAAATTGCAGAGAAGCATAATTCCCCACCATGGTTGATGTTTCGTTTTTGGAAGAACAATTGGAGTCAAAAAAATTTGGATGGTTCTACAATAATTAGATGTAAAAAACAAAATTGCAGAGAAGCATAATCACATCAAAATTGCAGCAATAAAACAACAAAGAAGCATAATTGCAACAAAAAACAAAATCACAACAACAAAGAAGCATAACCACAGCAAAAAACAAATTCACAGAGGAAAAAACAGAATCGGAGATGTAAAAAAAATATGAAAAATATACATACCTGGTGCCTTGATGAAAATCGAAGAGAGAAATCGCAGCAAGTAGTGTGAAGGAATCGTCTCCTTCTGGTGCTGCGAGGAAAAACGCAGAGAGAATTGCAGCGTAGAGAATCGCAGGGGTTAAGAAGCGGAACAGAAAACAAAAAGGGTAAGAAGCGGAAAAGTTTGCCAACTGCTGTATGAAACGCTCCTATGGTTGGCTTTTCATTTTTTGGCAGTTCGGTTTCAAGTGCTAAATTCAAATGCCATTACCCAAACAATTATTTTGGCGGTTTGACTAGTCCAATCAGCCATTTATGGTCAAAGATGCCAAATGCCAGCCAAACCGCCATTTACCAAACAGGGCCATAATATATATATACGTACTTGCCCCCCATACGTTTCGCGTGAAGTCCTATTTCGTAAAAAAAACATGAAAGTCTTATTTTTGTACTTTTCTCTATGTTTTTGTCTTATTTAGGGTGATTTCTATTTAAGAAGACTAGCACTCGTAGTTTGTTATTTTAAAACTTATTTGTTTATTCATATTTAGGGATTTGTTCCTTTATTTAAATATTCTAAATATTGATATAGGATTAAACAAATTTTTGCATAAATAATTAAATAAAAATAAAATAATTTAACTTTATACGGAGAGTTATTTAAAAAAAATATTTACCATCCAAAAAAAATTAAATTTATTTAGGGGTATGTCTTATTTACGTTAATGGCATGCGTGCATGTAAAGTGTTTCCTTCACATATATGGAAGTTATTCCAATTTCTTTTCTTCTTTGATAGGAAAGCCTAATACGGAGTATTACTTCAACAAATTAAATCACCTTAATATTCTTTTTGAGTTAGTGTTATTAATTATTATAGGGCAATTTACTTAAATAGGACTTAACATATACGGAGTATATCACTTTTTCCTAAGTAGAATCAGTCATATCTACTCTAACATTATTTGATAATAGAAAGTTCTAAAATACCATGCATTTGAGAAAAAAATGACCAATTACACAATTCAAGTAGAATAAGACTTTATTAAAAATGATTTGAATAGTCATTGAAATAATCAATGATTATCTAATACTTGTTGCTAATGACCAAATTCGTAGAGTCATTCGTATATCTAATAACTTCATTCATATAGGCATTTGCATCACCAGTCGTTATACAATACTTCATGCTAATGAGGGCATATATATGGAAGATGATATAGAATTATGTGTCATAAAGGGAATAAAACATACTTAGTCCTATTCATGAAAACATACTATGTTTTAGTCCTATACAGAGCAAAATTTTCATTATTATGGCGTCAATGTTTACATGTAAAATGGGGTAGATCTTCTCACATATTGAGCTCATAGCTAAATTTGCTTCTTTTACAAGGGCAAATACATATAATTATCAAATGCATTAAGGTCTATAAAATAATTATGAATCTAAAAATCACAGAAAATTTTGTCATTCTTTTTAGCTTTCAAAACATGGAGTTTAACAAGAAGGTAATCTTTTGTCCTATAAAAAATATGGATTTATTTCCATGATGTAAAAAAATACTTCATCTGTCCCACAAAAATATTTTATACTCGGTAATTTTTTTCGTCTGTTTAAAAAAAGTTACAGTCTCCATTTACGAAGAACTTGTTGTGGTCTATATTACTCCCCACAAAAGTTACATTATGTTCAAGCATACAATTTTGCTTTTGGTGTAGGACAAATAAAGTGGAGTATTAATAATTGAAAAGTTCGAGCAGTGTGTGGCGTAATTGGAGTATTAAAAAGGTCATGTAGATTTAAAGGTTCTCAATTAAGATGAAAGAAGTAATGGCCAACTGCGTAATTTTATAGTGAATAAACAAAATTTTTAGATTCTTGAGTCTTGACCACTACACATCATTGACAAAGAAAAACTTAACTACCTAAGAGTTTCAGGTCGTGTTACGTTCACGAAGGTTTCAACTTCTTTCACGGGATTTCAATATCTTTATGTCTCTTAAACTAGTATCACACCCGTGCGCTGTACGAGTTATTTTTATGTTATTAAATACCTAAGAGTTTCAGGTCGTGTTACGTTCACGAAGGTTTCAACTTCTTTCACGGGATTTCAATATCTTTATGTCTCTTAAACTAGTATCACACCCGTGCGCTGTACGAGTTATTTTTATGTTATTAAATTCAAGTTATTTTTTAATAAAAAAAAGATGCAATAGAATACAACGATTATATTATTTTAAGGTATAAAACATTACTGTTTTACAAATTTCAAAAGACTTCTTTATAGATTACATTATTTGTACAATTTGTGGTAATATTGTATTCATTGCATATCATAATCTTCAACCCACTACAATTAGTTACTCTTGAAACTGCAACATAGAGTTGTCCATGACTAAAACATGTTGGATTATTGTTACAGAAACTTGTGATAAACCCTAACTGCTCGTAGCTTCATCATTAACAGCTCGTAGCTTCATCATGAATGTAATGGCTATGAAAGCTTTGTAAATGGATGTATTTATAATATGATTTTTGCATATGGGGTTAAAAAAATTATTCATTTTTCAAAGTGCTATAACAAATTTAAATTACTATTACTATATTTAAATTATTTAATTTATTAACTTTAAAATTACTATAATTAAAAGTACTATAATTAAAATGACACGGTAACTAATAAGGAGTATACAATTATCTAGTCACACGGTTATATAATAAATACCTTGGTTAATTATTACCTTTTTTTATTAACATTACTATAATTAAAATATACTCGTAGTAAAATATAGCCATTATAAAATATAGTCACTATAATTATAATACAGCCATTATAAAATTACTATTATAAAATTAGTATAATTAATTTGACACGGTAATTTATATACAACTATGTAGTCACTTAATTATTACTTTTTATTATTATTACCTTTGTTGCTAGTATAATTTCGGACACTTTAAAAATGACAGTTAATTATTAACTTTCTTGGTTATTACTTTTCTCGCTATTAAACGTAATTATATATATTTAAAGGATATTTAATTACTACAGTAGTTATAGTTCATTTTATATTACTATAATTTCGGACACTTTAAATTCTTACCATCTTTAAATACTTAATAATTACTATTACTATATTTAAATTAATATATTTAAAATTACTATAATTAAAATCACTATAATTAAATGAAACGGTAATTAATACGGAGTATACAATTATGTAGTCACACGGTTATATAATTAATACCTTGGTTAATTATTACTTTTTGTTATTAAAATTTCTATAATTAAAATATTGTAAAATATAGACATTATAAAATATATCCACTATAATTAAAATATAGCCATTATAAAATTACAATTATAAAATTACTATAATTAAAATTACTATAATTAATTTGACACAGTAATTAATATACAATTATGTAGTCACACGTAATATTAGATTTCATTAATAGCGTAATATTCAATTTTAATTAAATTACTATAATTAAAATTACTATAATTAATTTGACATAGTAATTAACATTTAAGTACTATAATTAATTTGACACGGTAATCACACGTATTACTATAATTAATTCGACACGGTAAATAACATTTAGTTACTATAATTAAGTTGACACGTAGGATTCCAATTTTAATAAAAACTTACACTTTCCAATCTTATAACTTACCTTTCTTTCTAGTATAATTTCAGAAACTTTAAAAATGACAGTTAATTATTATAAAAAAATAATTATATTAACCATAATTTCGTACACTTACCATTTTAACTTCACAATTGCCATATGTAATGGACATACTTCGTGCACGGGTTAAAAATACTAATATCACACCCGCGTGTTGCACGGGGCATATTTACGTTACTAAATAAAAAATTTTCTTCAACGACCATATTTAAAAGTGCACTTGAAAGAAACTAATTATGAAAGTCCTTGCAAATGATCGCATTTATACTATGAAAAGTTTTTGGCTTATTCTATTTTCCTTTTTCAAAATTTTTATTTTTAAAATTACAATGTAATTTTTTTGGCCAAATTACACGGTTGGTGTTACTTACCATTTCAACATTCCTTTTTTAACTTAAATTTTTAATTATCAACGTGTATTTATGATTCTTTCTTACCAAACCGTATATAAGAAAAACACTTTATTTAAAATACCTAAAAAGTATAAATG